TCAATCAAAGTCCCTGAGAAGCCTGGGTCATTGCTGTCATTATCATCATTATCATGGAACTGATTCCTCCAAGAGATCCTAGGAAAATAAAGAGATGAACAGGGGAGGTGGGGATGTGAGTGTATGTGTGTATACAATGAGAAATATAATCAGGCATTGGATGCAGACTATATGTTTGGTTTAGAGAAGAATGTGATCATGAAAACCTGGTGTGGTGAACAAAGGACATGGTGGGGGGCGAGATGGTCAAATGGAAAGGGGAACATAAGCCAAGGTGTTAGCATAGATGGCATGGTTAGATTAGGAGATGGGTCTGAATGAGAGGAGTGTGGTAGGCAGAATCATGCTCTCTGCTAACCTCCCCCCAGGGTAGCCACCTGTGAAAATGTCCTGTACCTGCCAAAAGGGACTTTTGTTGTTAAGGATCTGGAAATGGAGAGATGGGAAGAGCATCTTGGATTGTCCAGGAGAGATGGGAAGAGCATCTTGGATTGTCCAGGTGGGACCAACCTGGGTTGGTCCTTTTTAAGGACCCATATGGGTCCTTAAAAGCGGAGAATGTCTCCCAGCTGTTTTGAGTCAGAGGCACAGAAGAATGCTCAAAGAGATGGAAGGTCGCTGTGAGGATGAAGGGAGGGGGGCAAAGCTAAGGAATAGAGGTGGAAAAGGAGAAGGAAAGGCTGGAAAAAGCAAGGAGACATTTTCTCCGAGTCTCCAGAAGGAATGCAGCCCTGCTGATACCTTGATTTTAGCCCAATGAGAACTGTGTTGGAGCTCTGATCTACAGAATGGTTAAGATGATAAATCTGTGCTGTTTTAAGCCATTGAATTTGTGGTAATTTGCTCCAGCAGTAATAGGAAACTGGCATAGGGAGTATTTGTGTAAGAGAGTAGAGGTCTGGAATGGAGTGTGAAGACGAAGGCCAGGTCAGACTGAATAGTGCCTTGATGGCTTAGGGTAAGGATTCTAACATTTACACCTAAAAAACAGCTGGGAGAAGTGGGAAGCTGGTATGCATCAAGCAGAGTTTTAGGAAGAACTACCTAGCAATGTTGTTTTGCAGGCTATTTGGAGTGAGGAGAGCACTGGGGGAGAGGCATCAATTAAACAACTCTACAAGAAAAGTAAGGAGTAAAATGGTGACCGGGCTTCTGTGGTGGTGGATATGGCAATGGAAAAGGACAGGTAGATACAAATATTATTTTTGAAGAGATTGGCTACAGGATTGATGACCACATGTTGAGGAGAGTTCATCGAGGTGGACTAAATGTCCCCTCAAAATGCGTATGTTGAAACCCAACCCCTCAGTGTGATGGTACTAGGAGGTGGGGCCTTTCAGAGGTAATTGGGATTAGATCAGGTGGTAAGGGCGGCGCCATCATGAATGAGATTAGAGCCCTTATAAAAGTCCCAGGACAGCTTGCTTCTCTGTTTTCTACCTTGTGAGGATACGAGCGGACAAGACCTCTTCAGGCCAGGAAGCAAACCGTCATGCACCCACCTTGATCTTGGACTTCCCAGCCTCCAGAACTGTGAGAAATGAATGTTTGTTGTTTAAACCACCCAATCTATGGTAATTTCTTAACGCATCCCAAATTGACTGACAGCTGAGAAGGCGTCAAAGTTTAGAACTTTCTGGATGAACGCTGAAACAAACGCAGGGGAACGGGCAGCGGGTTTCAGGAAGAAAAATGAGCTGACTTCAAACATGTTGACTTCTTTTGAGAACAGTGGGTAATTCCGGCAGGAACTGGGAATAGGGGCCGGCACTCGAGAGAGAAAAGGTAGAGATGCAGGCCCTGCGTTATCCTGTCGGGAGCGGCAGAGTGTAGATCTAGTCTCTGGGTCTTGGAGGGAGGAGAGGGCTGTATTTGCAGGTGATGGTCAAGGGACAAAAGAAGGCAATTAATGTACTATGTATAAGGGACGCGGCTGCTGTGAAGGTGCTGAACCTGCTGGCTCTTACTGGGGCTCCTTGCATGTGGCCCTGATAGTGAGCTTAACAGGTAAGACATGGACATGCAAATGTGTGGTTATTTACACTTACTGCTAGGAGCTGGGGTGACTTAACCACCCCCGCAAATATGCTTCTTCCTACTCAGTCTTTTCCAATAAGCAGGCTCAATTTAACCCTTTTATAAATATTCTTTCCCTCACGACTTCACTTTTGCCTACCTCACAGTCTTCTCCAAAATCCCTTCCAGACCTTTCTCCAAGGACTTAAACACAGACCATGTGCAGTCTACTATCCTCTGTCCCCTGCATCAGGATTTTCTAATTGTCATATCAGTACCCTGAGGTGGGGACCACTGGCAGGCCACCATTAAGGGTTCAAGAGCAGGGAAGGTTTAATGGGAGTTGCTCCACTGGGTCAGACTCCTGCTGTGTTCTCACCTCTTCACTTTTGTGCTCCAGGGATGTTTACCTGGTACAATTACTTTTTTTTTTTTTTTTTTGTCTGCTTCTCCCCAAAGTCTAGTCCATTTCTCTTGTTCCTCAATTACTAATGATTCATTTTGTTCTGATAAAACTCAATGCTTCCCTTCCCCTCCTAGAGAATAGATATCCCCTCTGACACTGCCCTTCAAACATTCCTAACAATTCTACAAAGCGAGTGTGGGTGGAAAAAATGTTTCCTCCTATGTGTATTATTTATGTGGCTGTGATTGAAGCTTTCAGCAAACCTGGAGACAAATGGACCTACTATGGTTTAGACTTTAGGGACATAAATAGACTAATTAGGGCTAGACAGGTGCTGAGAAAGAATCCATGTGCTTTTCATTTTAGACTTTTCTACAGAAACTGGAAAGGAAGGCTCTAATTCATGGGTTCAAATACCAAAATAGAATTAGAGTCACTTGGGAGGTTTGGAAAATTTTCAAACTTCACTCTTAATCACCATTCATTGCTAAGGAGTTATTCAAAGCAGGACAGCGTGAATAGCTATGTAACTATAAAATTATCTTATTCTGAGATTATCTCAGTTACATCATGTACCTGTGGATCTGACCTAATTAGAGTCCTTAGTAGTATGGGTAGGAAAGTGTTTTCAACTTCTTGGCATTTAGTCACAAATTTAGGATATTTGTAACATGGAATGGGACCCTAATATTTAAAAGTCTGGATTTCCCAAGGTTGGTGGGTTGACACTAGTTATAGCATGCTATGGGCTCAAAGTAATAGACCGAATCAGAACTCTGCACAAAAGCAGTGGTGTCAGCAGCAAGCCCTGTATCCTGATAAGGTTTCTGCCCTATGGATGCAGGTACCTTATGACATTGTGAGGGGGATGGAATTGGTAGGAAGGGACTGATAATTTTTGGAGCTTAATTCTTCATAAAAGCCTCCCTTTTCAAGGGCGCCCGGGTGGCTCAGTTGGTTAAGCATCTGCCTTCGGCTCAGGTCATGATCTCAGGGTTCTGTGCTCAGCAGGATGTTTGCTTCTCTCTCTCCCTCTACCCCTCCCCCCAACTCGTGCACTCTCTCTAATAAATAAAATCTTTAAAAAGTGCCTTCCTATTCAAGATAGCCTAAGTGCTATCTTCTGTGTTCTCATCCTAGACCCTTTGGACAATGACTAAGGAATGGAGTATGGTTCCTGAGGTTTATAATTGTAACTAATAATTCTGATAGTACTTAGGGATCTTTAATCTGTAAACAGAATTGAACACCTGTCATGTGCACAGCTTATTCCAAAAGAGAAACAGAATCCTCATCAAAATAGGATGTACTTTTTTCTGATAGTAATATTTGATGTTTGCACTTCTTATGTTTCAGAATCAACCATGTTTTTGTGCTTGGAATGAATGGCTAATGGATAGAGTCAAAAGGGAGGGAGGGGTGTAGCTATAAATTAATGGGTTTGCAGATAAAAAATATACAAAAGTACACTCAATAACCAAAATAGTTTATGTTGTAACTTAAAATTCTTTCACATAAAAAATAGCTACCTTTAATTCTTGTTCTGCCCTCTTAAAGGACATAAAAAATGTTGAACATTAAGACATTAATTGAATTACTTAATTTCCATATTTCACATTTGCTACCCATAATTTCACCAAGATCTATTTCACCTTTTACAAAATATTTCACTATATTATTATTTCAGAATTGCACTTAGTGGCATATGGTCATTGAGCACTTGGAATGTGGCTAGTCCAAACTGAGTTGTGCTGTAAATGTGAAACACACCAGATTTTGGAGACTAAGTATGGAAAAAAATGTAAAAACTCGTTTTATACTGCTATTTTGGATATATCAGATAATATAAATTAACCAAATTAATTTCATTTCCTTCTTATCTTTTTAAATGCGGCTGTAACAGGAAACTGAAAATTACATGTGCCTCATATTATACTCCTATAGGACAGCACAGGGCCGGAACACTTGAAAACAAGGTGGCTCCAGCTTGAATTTACCAGTATTTTATATACGATCTGCTTTTGGAAACAGGCATTGTGAAAAAGAACAACTGGCTACTTTTATGCATGCTCTTAATTTTTTCTAATGAACATACATTACTTTTTAAATAAAGATGTTATATTCTGTTTGTAATCTAAGACTTTCAAAAAAGGACTAGTATTTAAGACCTGGAGCATATAAGATTAAAACAATGAAGAAATTGAATTCCCCTATTACATGTGAACTTCTGTCAGGTGCAAACATGAGGCAGCCAGAGGTAAAAGTGGAAATCTGGGAGAATGCGGAGCGTTCACTGTTTGCTGTACAAAGTTATCATTCTTGTCAATTATTGTGGAAGCTCTACTCTGGGGACTGTCGCTGCAACTGTCCAAACCACTGTGCTCACGTTCTTCTCCATGTTTCCATGAGAAAGAGCTGTTTTTCTGGCACCAAGGATTCAGAATACACACTTCGTCAAAAAATGGTAGAGCGTGAGCAATTTTTTTCTTTCCACATCTAGACTAGAAGACCTTTTCCAACTAAGCTCACTCGTTCTAATCATCTGACACAAAGGGACTTGTCCATAAATTAACATGTGACTGCTTAATGATTTTCAGTAAAATACAGCATAATATTTTTCCTTACTGGTTTAGGGCAATTTATTTTGAAATGTTGCTTTTGTATTGTTTGCTTCCTGGCCACACATCGGAACACTTGTTTTCAAAAGCCTTCTTCTGACAGTGGCACAATCCCGTTCACCCTCCATCTTCAGGGCTTTCCGTGAGGTCCTGGGAAATCCCAGTTTCTAGTAATACTCTGGCGCATTCACTTCATCTGCAAAAGCCACCGGCACAACCACCCCCTGCCGGTGCAGCTCTCGAAGAACATCTAATATGGAGTCTAATTCTGTGCGGAACTTGTCCAACTCACGATTCTTCAACTGTGCAAGTCTTTTCCATTTCTCAACTTCTTTGTTTTGCTCAGTTTCTACTACTTGGTGTGTTTGCTGTATTATCTGAGGAAAAAAAATTCACATTACCATTACAGTTCACAGTGGGGGTGAAGACTTAACAATCTCAAAGAACTCAAGTGGGACAATGCTGACTGTAGAGGGGAGGGAGCAGGAGGGGGAGCCTTACCTAATGGGATCCATTGTGTCAATCAACAGGCTGGTGGGTGAAGCAGGTAAGAAGTGGGAACTCTAAATCTGATAGGGAGTTAGGAAGCTTTAGTCTTTTTTTTTTTTCTTACTCAAAACTTAAAAAAAAAAAAAGTAGCATTTAAAGCATCAGAAATTTCTAATACCTTAGTATGAATCCAACCCCCCCCGCCACCTCCCGCAAAAATGTTGTTCCTCTTAAGAATAGCACTTGAGGTGCAATCAAAACAGTTCTAATATACAACACACGTCATTTACACACATTATAACAGTAGAAATGATAAAAGAACAGGCATTTTACGTATGTTAACTCATTTAATCCTGCCAACACATGAGGTGAATTCTATATATTTATCCCCATTTACCAGGTAGTTTCTGGAAATGGGGGCACAGATTAAGCAAAAAATAATTTGCCCAAGATTCACACACAACTGGTTAGAGGCAGAGTCAGGGTTTATACCCCAGCAGTCTGGCCTCAGAGTCCCTGCTCTTAACTACCACTCTAGACCGTCTTGCTCATGTGGATGAATTTTTTCAACTCTGAAATGAGGGTACCCTGTCCAGTAATTTATAATACACTTCTTATAATTTCAAAATGTCTTACCATAAGGGAATCATTAGTCACAAGTATTACAAACCACAAAAAGCTGGACATATAAACAACTAGCTAGGGCAACAAAAGCAATAATGTTTCTAACTATTAAATATGTTGGACCTCTGCAATATTTTTATAATTCTGTCTGGCTATAGAATAACTTCATAACTCTAAAAAGCATTGGAAAAATACTGTGTAAATAGATACTTGAGTTAAGGGAAACACAAAATGCTGTATGAACTTACAATTCTAAGCTTTAAACATACTTGGAAAATTTTGGATGTCTATTGAAATTTGGCATTTAACCAATTTTTTCCAGATATATTGATATAATTGACATATAACACAGTGTAAGTTTAAGGTACACAATGCATACACTGTGAAATGATTAACACAATAAAGTTAACATCCATCACTTCACAGTTTTAAAATTTTTTCCTTATGATGAAAACTTAAGATTTACTTTCTTAGTAACTTTCAAATATACAATAGACAGACCAATGGAACAATTTAGAGCCCAGAAATAAACTCATGCCTTTATTATGTTAAGGTCCTCCCTCCCTCCTTCTCTCTCTCTCTTTTAAAGATTTTATTATTTGAGAGAATGAGATAGAGCATGAGAGGGGGGAGGGTCAGAGGGAGAAGCAGACTCCTTGCTGAGCAGGGAGCCTGATGTGGGACTCAATCCCAGTACTCCAGAAACATGACCTGAGCCGAAGGCAGTCGCTTAACCAACTGAGCCACCCAGGTGCCCCTTCTCTCTCTTTAAGATTTTATTTATTTGACAGAGACACAGGGAGGAAGGGAACACAAGCAGGGGGAGTGGGAGAGGGAAAAGCAGGCTTCCCACGGAGCAGGGAGCCCAATGTGGTGCTTGATCCCAGGACCCTGGGATCGTGACCAGAGCCAAAGGCAGACACTTAACAATTGAGCCACCCAGGTGCCTCAAGGTATTCCTTCTTTCCCTAATTTGTTGAGTTTTTTTTTTTTAAATCATGAATAGATACTGAATTTTGTCAAAGGCTCTTTCTGCATCTATTTAGATGATCATAGGATTTGTATTTTTCATTCAATTAATGTGAAGCATCACATTTATTGACTTGCATATGTTGAACCATCCTTACATCCCAGGGATGACTCCCACTAGATCATAGTGTATGGTCCATTTAATGTGCTGTGGAATTTGGTTTAATATTTTTTTGAAAATTTTTGTTGGCCTATAGTTTTTCTTGTAGTGTCTTTATCTGGCTTTCTTATCAGGTTAATGCTGGCTTTGTGAAAATGAGCTTGGGAGTGTTCCTTTTCTACTTTTTGGAAGAGTTGTTTTTTTTTTTTTTTTTTTTTAAAGACATTATTTGAGAGGGAGGGAGAGAGAGAGACTGCACAAGCAGGGGAGAGAGGGAGAAACAGGCTGCCCGCTGAGCTGGGAGCCCAACATAGGGTTTGATCCCAGGACCCTGGGACCATGACCTGAGCTGAAGGCAGATGCTTAACCAACTGAGCCACCCAGTTGCCCCACTACTTTTTGTGAGTTTGAGAAGGATTGGCATTCTTTAAAAGTGTGGTAGAGGGATGCCTGGGTGGCTCAGTCGGCTGGGCGTCTGCCTTCGGCTCAGGTCATGGTCTCAGGATCCTGAAATCGAGTCCTGCATCAGGCTCCTTGCTCAGTGGTGAGCCTGTTTCTCCCTCTGCCCCTCCCCCTGCTTGTGCCCTCTCTGACAAATAAACAAATAAAACCTAAAAAAAAAAAGTGTGGTAGAATTTACCAGTAAAGTCACCTGGCCCTGGGCTTCTCTTTGTTGGGATATTTTTGATTACGGATTCTGTGTTATTAGTAAAATGGTCTATTCCTATTTTCTATTTCTTAATGATTCAGTCTTGGTAGGCTGTATGTTTTTAGCAATTTATTGATTTCTCCTAGGCTGTCCAGTTTGTTGGCATATAGTTGTACATAGTAGTCTCCTATGATCCTTTGCATTTCTCTGGTATCAGTTGTAATGTCTCCTCTCCCATTTATAATCTTAAGTCCTTATTTCTTGGTTAGGCTAAAGGTTTGTCAATTTTTTCAAAGAATCAATTCCTAGAGTTTTGTTAATCTTTTCTATTATCTTCCTATACTCCATTTCATTTATTTTTGTTCTTTCTTTCCTTCTGCTAAATTTAGGCTTATTTTGTTCTTTTTCCAGTACCTTGTGCTGGTAAGTTAGGTTGTTTATTTGAGATCTTTCTCTTGATTTAGGCATTTATCACTATAATCTTCCTTATTAGAACCGCTTTTGCTGCTACCCATAAGTCTTGGTATGTTGTGTTTCCAACTGGCTCAAGATACTTTGTTTTTTAAGATCCTTTTTAATTTCACTTTTAATTTATTTGATCCATTTGTTATTTAAGGGTATGTTGTTGAATTTCTATGTATTTGTGAATTCTCGTTTTTTCCCTAGCGATTCCTAGTTTCCTATCATCGTGGTCAGAAAACATACTTGCTATGATTTCAATCTTAAATTTGCTAAGACTTATCTTGTGTCCTACTATATTATGTATCCTAGAAAATTTTCTTTGTGTGCCTGAGAAGAATGTATATTTTGGTGTTGTCGGAGGGACTGTACTGTGTATGTCTGTTCTATTAGGTCCATTGTGTCTATAGCATTATTTAAATCCCATGGTTTCCTTATTGATTGGATGTCTATCCATTGATAAGAGTGACATATTAAAGTCCCCTACTATCATTGTATTGCTGTTTACTTCTTTTAGTTATTGTTAGTGTTTTATATATTTAGGTGCTCTGATGTTGGGTGCATAAATATTTACAACTGATATATCTTGATGGACTGACCCTTTTATCATTATATAGTTACCTCTGTCTCTTTTGGAGATTTTTAGCTTATAATCTATTTTGTCTGATGTAACTATAGCTACTCCTGATTTCTATTTGTTACCATTTGATTGAAATACCTTTTTCTGTCCCATCACTCAGTCTATGCTGTTTTTAAAGCTAAAGTCTTCTTTTAGGTGGCATATTATTTGGACTATATTTCATCCATTTGGTAATTTCTGTGGTTTGAATGGAGCATTTAATCCATTTACATTTAAAGGAACTGCTGATAGATAATGAATTAATATTGCCATTTTGTTCCCTTCTGTTTTGTAGATCCTATGTTCCTTGCTTCTTATATCTTGCAGTCATCTTTTGTGATGTGATGACTTTTTGTAGTGGTATGCTTTGAGTCTTTTATCATAATCTTTTCTGTAATTAGCACAGGTTTTTCCTTTGTGGTTACCATGCAGCTTACATAAAATGTGATATATTTATAACAACCTAATTTAATTTTGATAGCATACCTAAACTTTACATTTTCATTCCATGCCCCCCAAACTTTAGGTTACTGAAGTTAAAATTAATTTTTAATATTTGGTATCCAATAACAAATTAGTGTAGTTATTTTTAATGTTTTTTACCTAGAGTAAAAACTGTTTTAAACTAGAGTTGTAAATGAATTAGGAAGCACCATTACAATATTAGTGAATCTAACTTTGACGACTTATTTACCACTGAGTTTTTACACCTAACATTTGTATGTTTTTATGACGTTAACTGGTTTCATTTTATTTCCACCTGACAAATTACATTTAGCATTTATTTTAGTGGTAATGAACTTAGCTTTTTATGTTTATTGTATTGTGTATGACATAATGATTGATGTTTGCATAGCCTGTGAAAAGATCACATAATAGTAGTTAATATCCACTGTCATACATAGTTACAAAATGTGTTTTTCTAGTAAGGAAAACTTTCGAGATTTACTCTTTAACAGCTTTCAAATATACAATTTATTGTATTAACTACAGTCACCACACTGTACATTACATCCTTATAACTTACTTACTTTACAACTTTACAAGTTTTTACCTTTGTCTCCCTACATGCATTTTGCCTGCCTCCCATGCCTTGCCTCTGAAAACCACCTATCCTCTATGAGCATAGCATTTAAGAATTTTTTAAATTAACTTTTTAAAAATTTCTGATAGTTTTTTATTAGTGTATAGGAATGCAACAGATTTCTGTATATTGGTTTTGTATTCTGCAACTTTACTGAATTCGTTTTGGTTTTTTTTTTTTTATTATGTTATGTTAGTCACCATACAGTACATCATTAGTTTTTGATGTAGTGTTCCATGATTCATTGTTTGTGTATAACACCCAGTGCTCCATGCAATACGTGCCCTCCTTAATACCCATCACCGGGCTAACCCATCCCCCCAC